CACAAAATACATAGGAAGCTCCAGCAGCTATTAGTGTGCTTAATTGTAATTTTTGATGGTGTGTTTTGTTAACATTTTCTGGGACTCATGTTATCAGGGACGCTATAAAGAACAAAGTATGGAAGGAGTTTGATGCATAGTTTATAATAATTGGTTTAAAATGTCTGTTATATTATAAGAAAATATTATTCACGGAACTCCAAATATGTAATGCAAGTTATTTTAATAAATGTATACAAGTTAAGCTATGTAAACTTATTGTCTGTCAGGATCTAACTTAATTGACATACAGCAATTAGTGGAAACGCGGCCATGATAAATAGGAACAAAATATTCATTAGAGTTATCCTTCAAACTACTTTGTTAGTTTGTTGAGTGTCACACAAAGCTACTATCTGCACTAACCATCTCTAATTTAAAAGTGATAAACTAAATGGAAGGCAGCTATCTCCTGCCAATTCTTGGTCTACTCTAATCGAATAGATAGATTGACCGTCAAATTATAGAGCGAACATGTTTGGTGATGGAATTATGGCCAACTACTTTTACGTATTTGCTGTTACCCATTCCACTTTCAATCGTTTACTCTACATTAATAAATTACATTTAACTGTTTCTTAATCCATTAATTTTAGCCTAATTTAGCGTTAAAGTTTCGTTTTAATAAAACAATACATTGAAAGTATTAACAGCTTACACAATATAAAATCAATAGTAAAATCAAAACAGCTAATAACGGTCTCTGGTTAAAAACAAACACTAAAACAAGGTTCAACAATACGATGATTTGATTTCAATTTTGATGGTGATGGGTGGTTTGGATGTTGTTTTGCTATTTTTATTAAGTTGTTTGAATTACCTGTATATATATATATATGTGTGTGTGTGTGTGTGTGTGTCTGTCTGTATCTGTGCTTCAGTGATTACCCTTTCAAGAAAAAAATTGTAGGAATCCGCAAATAACGGAGGCTCAGAAAATGTATTATGGAGTAAGTATGATTTTCTGACCTTGGTAAAGTTTGCAGTAACCAAGAAATTGGGCACCATGTAAGCGAAGTCACAAGTAATCTTTAATCACAAAAAATGTGCTTTACGACTAGACAGAAGTTCACTTTTACTGTTAAAATATCTTACCAATTGTGGAACAATACTGAATGAAATCTCTAACCACTCCAACTCAAAAAGGTGCATGCGTCAGTCACGTCACTGTTGGCTGTCTTAAAAGCAAAACAGGGAGTATATATAGCCTCAAGGTATTACGTGACACATCAAAAGCGTATCCCAATTATGTATACTACAGCAATCTGTCTAATGAGAAAGCTCATGCGACACCAAAGGTGAATGATTCGGGATAATATGTAACCAGAGTGACAACAATTTAGCCACGTCTCAGAACAAGGACTATTGTTAAATTCATATGCACACGTATGTGTGAAACATTTGAAGTCCTTGGTGAACAAAATGTTTACTTATCTAAATGGAAAACAAATACTATAATTAGTATGCTTACACTCTACACACATCGTTGTTATATTTCTTGAAGTGTTTCATTTAGAATAACTTCAATGATCAGGTTGTTGTTCAGGATGAACTACGCCGATGTTATGTTCCTTACTTAATGGTAACAGTTTGTTTTTTGTAAACGTGTTCCTTGACTTACAATTTTTTGTAATACAAATTAAGATTCGCAAGGATAAAACTTAGCAAAGAGAATATAGTTTGTTTATTAATGCTTACACGCCAGGATTGTTTGTTGTCGTGACCTTTGTTTCTTTCAGAGTGCTACGGAAGGTTACATGTACGTAATTGGTAAAGACATGAAGGAAGATGAAGAGACTACAGTGAGTGACCTTAGCATCGGAGCCTACAGGGTCATGGAAGAGGAGTATGCTTTTGTCTTTCCCAAGCTCTTTATGGAAGGCACACTGGTTAACCACGGGTTTAAAGATTATTACTTCGGCAAACAGAACTTTTACAACATCCTGTTTTCTATCGTTATACCTAAGGGATCACCACTAAAGGAAGCATTTGATAAATTGTAAGCAAAGGATATTTAAACTAAAATGAGTGAAAAACTTTTGAATATAAGAGGAATTTTTTTTATTATTAGAGTATTATGTGAGTAAAACATGTTTTTCGTTTTTGTTAAATACAAAAACTGTACAATGGCCTATCTATAGTGTGCTCATTGAAAGAGTCAAACCCTGAATTCTAGCGTTATAAGCTCTTAGGCTTACGGCTCAGGCATAAAAAAGTTACTAGATAAACTATCTATAATATGCTGTACCCACTGCAGGAAATAAACCCCGAATTTTAATGTTATAAGCCTTCAAGTTTATCGCTGAACTACTGGAGAGCTGATGTATTCCTTTTTTTGAATCTTCTAAAACTCAGTTTTTTGTGTTTATGAGTTTCGTGTTTACTCCAACAGTAAAATTACCGAAAACTCAGGAGCAATGAGCACCTCGAGGAATTCTAGTTAAGTCGGTTTAACTTTCTAATCGAAAATTATTCTCTTCCAAATCACAGTTCCCAAGCATGACCCGTTTATGCCAGTGACCAATTTACTGGCCATTGCAATGTTTTTATTCAAGATGGAGCTTCTGCTCGTTCAACCTGAGTCCCAAAACAATGACTTGTAAGTCATGGAATTACAACTCTGCCTTGACCAAGCAAATTGCCGGATAACATGAACCATATCAGTAATGTGAGGTCTGTCGTTGGTTATTCCCTATGGGCACGCCATAAAAAATAATTTACAGGGACATTATTGCCAAAGTCCATCGCCAAGGGTGGAATGATATTCCACAGGATTATATTTCAGATCTTGTAAATACGATGGTAACTGTGATTCTGTCTTAAATATTGCAAAGGTCAGATCCACTGAATCCTTTTGGTAATCGTTTGTTTCATGATATAATAAAATGGCGTTACGTCTGGGATGGGCGTCTGTTTACTTGCTGGTAGGCTGTATATCACTTGAGATAGTAACAAATATTTTAATAAGGTGCAGATTGTTTGATTAATTATAAGTAATATGCTGAGGTTATCTATTAATGATAATTTCAAATATTAATGACTCACTTCCTTAAGGATATCAATTTGATCCGCTTTTTGCACAAAGGCTTGGCAGATTCAGCACATAATATCTATAGCTCACATGTTTCATATAAAGAGTTATATGGTCTTTTATGACGGTGTTTCAAAACACAACCAAATGAATTGTTGTTTGTCTAATTATGGGTCTTCTGTAGTAACAGAAAGAAAATAAATCAAAAATAACGATTCAAAGGTTTATTTATAAAACTGAGTTAAACGAAAAGAACTGAGAATCCAAAGATATAAAGTGAATGATACAGTCTAGGATTAATTATGTTTAATACTCTATCGGTAGATTTTGTTCTTCGAAACCTTTTTGTTTGTTTTTCTCGGAATTTCTAAATATGTTTGTTTGTAACTGAAGCTTAGTTTAGAACGTGAAATACTGTACACATTAACGTAAAATTAATGTACACATTCCATTACAGACTGATACGACTGAGCGAAATGGGCTTGACTGACAAATGGAAAAAGGATATTATCAATCAGCGGAAACTAAAAAAGACATTTTTGGAGCAAGGCAACTCCACGGCACTGAGCACAGGCAATGCGGGAGGTCTACGTCCGTTAAGTCTCGAAGATTTATTGGGCTCTTTCATTCTCTTATCTGTCGGGTGTATATTAGCCATGTTAGTGCTCCTGTTGGAACAAGCTTTGTTTTGGTACAACCTGAAATTCAATAAGAAAAATACTCGAAAGTAACCGACCTGTGAAATCGAGTTACAAAACAAAGTAAGAAATACAGGGTGTCCGAAAGTTATGTGACGTATTACATACTTAACCTACGACAAGACAGTAACAGTTACAACTTAGAGTTTACTGTGGATGAAGGGTACATTTATACGGTTTTTTGCCACACGTCATGTGCCATCAGTACAACTCTACATATACCCCGTTTGTGGCACTCGAGATATCGAATGGATATTTGATTTATATTTATGTGTTCATGTTCATGAAGTGTCCCCAAATTTTTTGTTTGTTTGTTTGTTTTTGAATTTCGCGCC